TAAAGAAGCCCAATCTTGACCTTAACTCCCCATCCAACTATCGTCCTATCTCGCTACTGCCTTTTGCATCCAAGATCCTTGAAAAAATTGTGTATGCGAGATTGACAGACTTCTTCGAGTCCAACTCTCTGATAGACCCGCTTCAGTCTGGTTTCCGCACTAAGCACTCTGTGGAAACGGCACTGACCAAAGTATCCAATGATTTACTCGCTGCAAAATCTTGTGGTCACTACTCTATCCTAATTCTCCTTGACCTGTCTGCGGTTTTTGACACTGTTGATCATCAACAGCTTCTTCTCATCCTCTGCAATATCGGTCTACAAGATATTGCTCTCTCCTAGTGCTCCTCCTACCTCTCCCAGCACTCTTTCAGTGTTTCTTTCTCTGACTCTGCTTCTTCTCCCCAACTCCTCTCTGTTGGTGTCCCCCAAGGTTCAGTCCTTGGTCCCCTACTGTTCTCCATCTATACTGCCTCCCTTGGTAAACTCATTAGCTCCTTTGGCTTCCAATATCATTTCTATGCAGATAACACGCAAATCTACCTGTCCTCTCCTGATCTCTCCCCGTCCCTCTTGACTAGTGGATCTGACTGCCTCTCTGCTGTTTCTAACTGGATGGCTGCCCACTTCCTTAAACTAAACTTGACCAAAACTGAAATTCCGGTCTTTCCTCCCTCAAGTGTTGTTACTCCTGTGTCTGTCTCCCTCCAAGTCAACGGTGCTACTATCAGCTACACCACGCAGGCTCGCTGCCGAAGGTGTTCTCTTTGACTCCGACCTCTCCTTCAAGCCTCATGTTCAATCTATCGCCAAATCCTGTCATTTCCATCTCAAAAACATTGCGCGCATCCGCCCCTACTTAAAGGACCACTATAGTGCCAGGAAAACATACTCATTTTCCTGGCAGTATAGTGCCCTGAGGGTGCCCCCACCCTCAGGGTCCCCCTCCCGCCGGGCTCTGGGGAGAGGAAAGGGGTTAAACTTACCTTTTTTCCAGCGCCAGGTGGGGAGCTCTCCTCCTCCTCTCCACCTCCGATCCTCCTCTTCAGCTGAATGCGCATCCGCGGCAGGAGCTGCGTGCGCATTCAGCCGGTCTCATAGTAAAGCATTAACAATGGCGTCTTCTCACTGTTTCTCTGAAACTGCTATGTTTATAAAAAAAAGGGTTAATCCTAAGCTGAAGTGGTCTGGGTGCCTAGAGTGGTCCTTTAACGCCAGATGCCACTAAGGTGTTGGTCCACTCCACTGTCCTTTCTCGCCTTGACTACTGTAATCCACTTCTCAGTGGTCTTACGTGCTCCCAACTAGCGCCGCTACAGTCCATAATGAATGCGGCGGCGAGGCTCATCTTCCTGTCCGCCCGTACCTCCCATGCCTCACCCTTCTGTCAGTCCCTACATTGGCTTCCTATAAAATATAGAGCTCAATTTAAAATTCTGGTTCTTGCTTTCAAATCTCTACATAATGCTGCTCCCACCTATCTATCCTCCCTTATACACAAGTATGTCCCATCTAGGCCCTTACGATCTGCTGAAGACTTACGTCTATCTTCTGTCCGTACTTCCACCTCTGATGCTCACCTTCAAGATTTCTCGAGGGCTGCACCGTTCCTGTGGAACTCGCTTCCCTCCTCCGTTAAATGATCACCCAGTCTCCACTCCTTCATAAAAGCGTATCAATTAAACTGTTAATAGCTCCTGACTGATTCCTCTTCTGCAACTGTCACTAGTCTAATACTATCCTTACCTTTTTGTGTCATTTTACCCCACTCCCTCTAGCATGTAAGCTCATTGAGCAGGGCCCTCAACCCCTCTGTTCCTGTTTGTCCAACTTGTCTGGTTACAACTACATGTCTGTTCGTCCACCCATTGTAAAGCGCTGCGGAATTTGACAGCGCTCTATAAATATAATAATAATAATAATTTAAACTGAACACATATTATAGCACTATAACTATAACCCCTCTCAAGCCTTTACTTCTCCTAGCACTAAATAAATACATTTCCAGGACCTGATAATATTCACTTGTAAGTACTTAAGGAGCTAAGTGAACACTTTGTATTTAATCTTTCAAGAATTGTACCAGATGATTGGATGAAGTCAAATGTGGTTCCTATATTCAAAAACGGGTTCAAAATCGTATATTTAAAAAGGGTTCTAAATGTTTGCCTGGAAATTATAGACATGCAAGCTTAACTTCTGAGGCTGGAAAAGATTGTAAGGGTTATTAAGGGATAATATTCAGGAATTCATTGGGAAGAACATTGTTATTAGCAATAATAAGCATAATTGTATGAACCGTATAAACGTGCAGGACCTATAGTTATATTTTATTTTACTTTACTTTATATTCTTTTTTACACTTTTATAAAATCAACTCATATCTGGAGTCCTACCTTTAATACTGATGTGATGGCTGTCATCAAAGAGAAGGGATCCTGGATTATCCCCCCAATATTCTAAGAGGAGGCATCCTAAGGTGATATACAACAGTCTTCCTCATGTGAATGTACTTTAAATGTCTGATTTAGTTACATTGTTACAAAAGAGACTTGCGCCCATCAAGTTCAGCCGTTCTCACATTTGTTTTTTGCTGTTGATCCAAAAGTTGACCCAGTTTGAAGCACTTCCAATTTTGCAACAAACTAGGAAAAAAAATCCTTCTTGGTCCGAGAATGGCAGTCAGATTTATCCTTGGATCAAGCAGCTATTACCCTACATTGAAAAATTATATCCTTGAATATTCTGTTTTTGCAAGTATGCATCTAGTTGCTGTTTGAACACCTGTATGGACTCTGATAAAACCACTTCTTCAGGCAGAACATTCCACATCCTTATTGTTCTTAAAGTAAAAAACATTTTCTTTGCCTGAGACGAAATCTTCTTTCTTCCAGTCTAAACGTATGACCTTGTGTCCTATGTAAAGTCCGGTTTGTGAGTAGATTTCCACACAATGGTTTGTATTGGCCCTGAATATATTTGTATAATGTTATCATATCCCCTCTCAGGTGACGTATTTGTATTCTAAAGAGATATGCATGCTGCTCTGCACCCTACTACCACTAGAAGACAACTTGCCATAGGTTTGATGCTCACACAAGTCAATCACTCACTTAACTACTGCCCATCACTATAATGTTGTTGTTAGAGGCAAGGGTGTGTCAGTCTGTGGTTTAGCGCACGTCCGGTGTATTCAAAACGTGGTTCTGCTGTTTAGACCATTCTAGTGGGATATTGCTATACTCTCTTGAAAAGAGCTTTGACATTGTCTGCTGTTGCCTACATAATTATGATCACATCCATACACATTACATGTAACAAAAGTTTCACTCTTATAGCAAAGAACTTACAATCAATCCAAAGTGAATTGTCTTTACTATGCAGTGGAATAAAAAAGCAAGTTGATGTAGAGTGTGTGTGTAGTGGATGCAGAATGTGTAATGATTGCAGAGGGAGTGTGTAGTGGATGCAGTGTATATAGTGGATGTAGTTTGTGTGTACTGACTGCAAAGTGTGTGTATAGTGGATGTAGTTTGTGTAGTATATGCAGTGAGTACATTGGCACTCACACAAATTTTGAATGTGAGATAGTGTGAGACTAGTGGTTATGGTTAGTGCTGTGACCTAATGCCACTGCCACTTAACACTAACCTGGAATCACCACTTTGAAGTTTGACGGGTTCAACTTCAAGAAGATAGAAAAGATAGAAAGATAGAAAAAAGATACATTGTTTTATTTATTTTTTAGAGTGTGCTTAGTCCAGTGTGTACTGTGCATATGTGCAAGTAATATGCAGTGAGTGTGTGCACTGTTGTGTTTCTTAAAGTTAAACTCAATAATGTCACAGTAGTAAATTCACTAAGCACCAACCCATTTTGCAACATAAATACTTCTTTCTGATGAATACAGTTTCAAATATAGTTTACACAATACACAATCAATCATATCCCAAATGTATTGTAATAAGAAAAAAAACTCACCATCATCAATGTTGCATCTAAGTCCCAAGAAAAAAATTGAGCAAGGGTAGGGGATGGGGACATGTTCCTCAATCCACCATCAGCAGTAGTACCATCAGGGGCGGACTGAGAGCATTTGGGGCCCCCAGGCAAAATTAGATCCCAGGCCCTTTGAAGGCCAAATATATGTGCATTAAATAAATGTTAAATAAATAATACAGCATTCCTTTGGATGTGTATATTGTGAAGACCTGTGTATCAATGCATGTTTGTATTTGAGTCTGTGTGAATGCACTTGTGCATGTTGGGATGACTACATGTGCTTTTTTGTATATAGTGTCTGTGTGAATGCATATGTCACAGGTGACAGTGTGTGAGGGAGAAGGTGACAGGTGGAAGAGTGTGGGAGGTTGTGACAGGTGGCAGAGTGAGGGGGTACCTGGTGGCAGAGTGAGGGAGGGAGGGGTTGAGTGGTGGCAGAGTGAGGGGGAGACACAGTGAGTGGGGGTGACTAGTGACATAGGGAGGGAGAGGGGGTGACTAGTGACAGAGTTAGGGAATGGGTGACTAGTGGCAGAGTGAGGGAGGGAAAAGATGACTAGTGGCAGAGTGAGGGAGGGAAGGGGTGACTGGTGACAAAGTGAGGGGATGACTGGTGACAGAGTGACAGAGTGAGGGAGTGACTAGTAACAGAGGGAGGGAGTGACTAGTGACAGAGGGAGGGAGGGGGTGACTGTCACTAGTCACCCCATCCCTCTCTCTGTCACTAGTCACTCCCTCCCTAACTCTGTCACTGTGTCACCCGCTCCCTCACTCTGTCACTAGTCACCCCCTCCCTCACTCTGTCACTAATCACCCCCTCTGTCCCTAGTCACCCCCTTCCACACTCTGTCACTAGTCACCCCATCCCTCTCTCTGTCACTAGTCACTCCCTCCCTAACTCTGTCACTGTGAAGGAAGGAAGGGGTGACTGGTGATAGAGTGAGGGGATGACTGGTGACAGAGTGAGGGAAGGGATGACTAGTGGCAGAGTGAGGGAAGGAAGGGATGACTGGTGACAGAGTGAGGGAATGACTGGTGACAGAGTGAGAGAGGGGGTGACTAGTGACCGAGTGAGGGAGGGAGTGGGTGACTAGTGACAGAGTGAGGAAGGGGGTGACACAGTGATAGTCACCCCATTCCTCCCTCTGTCACTAATCACCACCTCCCTCACTCTCACTAGTCACCCCTTCCCTCCCTCACTCTGTCACTAGTCACACCCTCCCTCTCTCTGTCACTAGTCACACCCTTACTCACTGTCACTAGAGTGAGGGGGTGACTAGTGACAGAGTGAGGGGGTGACAGGTGATAGAGTGAGGGAAGGGGTGACTAGCGGCAGAGTGAGGGAAGGGAGGGGTGACTAGTGACGGAGTAAGGGGATGACTGGTGACAGAGTGAGGGAGGGGGTGACACAGTGACGGAGGGAGGTGGTGACTAGTGACAGAGTGAGGGAGGTGGTGACGGTCACTAGTCACCACCTCCCTCACTCTGTCCCTAGTCACCCCTCCCTCTGTCACTAGTCACCCCTTGCCTAACTGTCACTAGTCATACCCTCACTCTGTCACTAGAGTGATGGGGTGACTAGTGGCAGAGTGAGGGAAGGAAGGCGTGACTAGTGACAGAGTGAGGGAGGTGGTGACTGTCACTAGTCACCAGCTCCCTTACTCTGTCACTAGTCATCACCTCCCTCTGTCACTACTCCCTCCCTCCTTCTATCACTAGTCACCCCCTCTGTCCCTCACTCTGTCACCAGTCATCCCCTCCCTCTGTCACTAGTCACCCCCTCACTCTAGTGACAGAGTGAGGGAGGGTGTGACTAGTGACAGAGAGAGGGAGTGGGTGACTAGTGACAGAGTGAGGGAGGTGGTGATTAGTGACAGAGGGAGGGATGGGGTGACTAGTGACAGTCACCACCTCCTTCACTCTGTCACTAGTCACCCCCTCCCTCACTCTGTCATTGTGTCACCCACTCCCTCCCTCACTCTGTCACTAGTCACCCCCTCCCTCACTCTGTCATTGTGTCACCCCCTCCCTCACTCTGTCATTGTGTCACCCACTCCCTCCCTCACTCTGTCACTAGTCACCCCCTCTCTCACTCTGTCACTAGTCATCACCTTCCTTACTGTCACTAGTCACACACTCCCTCTCTCTGTCACTAGTCACACCCTCCCTCACTCTGTCACTAGAGTGAGGGGGTGACTAGTGACAGAGGGAGGGGATGACTAGTGACAGAGTAAGGGACGGAGGGGGTGACTAGTGACAGAAGGAGGGAGGGAGTAGTGACAGAGGGAGGTGGTGACTAGTGACAGAGTGAGGGAGCTGGTGACTAGTGAGAGAGTGAGGGAGGGTGTGACTAGTGACAGAGTTAGGGAGGGAAGGGGTAACTAGTGACAGAGGGAGGGGTGACTAGGGACAGAGTGAGGGAGATGGTGACTAGTGACAGTCACCACCTCTGTCACTAGTCACCACCTCCCTCCCTCTGTCACTGGTCACCCCCTTCCTCACTGGGTGACCAGTGACAGAGTGAGGGAAGGGGTGACTAGTGGCAGAGTGAGGGAGGTGGTGACTGTCCCTAGTCACCACCTCCCTCACTCTGTCACTAGTCACCACCTCCTTCTGTCACTAGTCACCCCCTCCGTCCCTTACCCTGTCACTAGTCACCCCCTAACTCACTCTGTCACTAGTCATTCCCCTCTCTCTCTGTCACCAGTCATCCGCTCACTCTGTCACCAGTCACCCCTTCCTTCCCTCACTCTGCCACTAGTCACCCCTTCCTTCCCTCACTCTGCCACTAGTCACCCCTTCCCTCACTCTGTCACCAGTCATCCCTTCACTCTAGTGACAGAGTGAGGGATGGTGTGACTAGTGAGGGAGGGGGTGACTAGTGACAGAATGAGGGAGGGGGTGACTAGTGACAGAGGGAGATGGTGATTAGTGACAGAGTGAGGGAGGTGGTGACTGTCACTAGTCAACCCATCCTTCCCTCTGTCACTAGTCACCCCCTCCCTCTGTCACTGTGTCACCCCATCCCTCCCTCTGTCACTGTGTCACCCCATCCCTCCCTCTGTCACTAGTCACCCTCTCCCTCACTCTGTCACTAGAGTAAGTGGGTAACTAGTGACAGAGTGAGGGAGGGGGTGACTAGTGACAGAGTAAGGGAGGGAAGGGGTGACAGAGTAAGTGAGGGAAGGGGTGACTAGTGACAGAGTGAGGGAGGGGGTTACTAGTGACACAGTGGGGGGTGACTAGTGACAGTTGGGGGGTGACTAGTGACAGTAGGGGGGTGACTAGTGACAGTGACGGGGGTGACTAGTAACACAGTGAGGGGGTGACTAGTGACAAGAGGGGGGGTTACTAGTGACAAGAGGGGGGTGACTAGTGAAGGAGGGGTTACTAGTGACAAGAGGGGTGACTGTGACAGAGTGACTAGTACAGGAGGGGTTACTAGTGACAGTGAGGGGGTTACTAGTGACAGTGAGGGGGTTACTGAAGTGACAGTGGGGGTGACTAGTGACAGTGGGGGTGACTAGTGACAGTGGGGTGACTACTGACAGTGAGGGGTGACTAGTGACAGGGGGGGGTTGAATAGGGAGGGGGGGGTGATTAGAGCCTACCTGTGCTTACTCTGCTCTCTCCCCGGCTGCTGCTCCTTCCCCTGCTGGCTGATCAGGCTCTCTGTGTGAGAGGAGAGTACAGGAAGTGATGTCACTTCCTGGCCCCGCCTCTCCCCATCACACAGAGCACCGCGCGACAGGGAGAAGGAGACCTGGCAGAGAGCTGCTGAAGCTGCCAGGTCTCATAGGGGGTGATTTACAGGGCGGTAGGTTGTGGGGCCCCAAGCTGCATCAGGGGCCCCACAACCTATCAATGAAATAGTTTTATTTTTTTTAATTTTGCCGTTCCAGTTGGAGAGATCTCTGATCTCTCCAGCTGGAGCATGGCTGTGCGGCCGGGCCCCTGACTGCCTCGGGCCCTCGGTTCATGACCGATGTGCCCGAGTGGTCAGTCCGCCCCTGAGTACCATGGCTTCTGAACACCTGTTCCTTGACCATAAGGACTGCCGACACCCTCCACCCCTGCCTCGCTATTAGAAGTAATCAGCCTTTGGTTAATAGGATTGGCAACATCTCACTAGTGCTGGTACGACCCAAAATCTTACCGACCACAAGTCTGTCTGTATTACTGAGGGGGGAAGAAAGAGAAAGACAGCAGGTCCACTGATACTGCATTTGATTCTGTGTAACCAACTATGACCATCGATACATCCTCCACTACTTCCTCTTTTAGGCAGATCAGAGGGGATATAGATCCTTTTGCCACAAGGCAACAGGGACAGGTGAACTCCCAGTCCTCATCATCTCAGGGACATGTCCACTAGTCCACTCTGATTGGATTTCACTCCATGGACATGTCAAAACAACACCCTAACACAATCACCCACCCAATTGCCCAGCTGATCACTATAGGGTGGGCTTCCTTTTCAATGATATAATTTCAGCCTCTTAAACAGATGATTCAGACGCTTGCTCCTCAATACATCATTCCCTGCTATTCACTTTCAAATGGAACATAGTCCTATCACTGTACTTACTCTTGAAGGAACAGATGTGGTCAGTGGGGCACTTCACCACAGTTTTATGGAGCGCTCCTAGTGGGTAGTAAGTCTTCCTCTTCTTGATGGCACACTGGTGACAGCCCACTGTGCCTAGATATGGTGGTGGTAGTGAAGGAGGTCCAACCTTAGTAGCATGTCCGACTGGGAATGGATCTATAAGGTAGCAGGGCTATCAATGTCTTCTTCTACATACTGCACAGTTTTTTCTAAAATGCTGTGGATATATGGAAGGTTATTCACACACTCAGTTTCCCTGTCTATTTAACCCTGCAATGTAAAACATTAAATTTTCTGTAATAATTACATTGCATGGTTAACTCAACCTCTAGTGGCTGTCTTCCACTGCCAGGTGCTTCACTGAGTTTAACCCTGTGAAGCGATGTTGGATGTTCTCAAGCTCTGCATGAGAATGTCCAGCAACTTGAAAATGTCCATAGAAAAAGCATTAATTCAGTGGTGAAGCCCTAATGCAAGCGTGGTATACCTGACAACAGTGGTATATGGTTTTGACATTCTACCATTGGATGAGTGGATGTTAATATAATGTATTAATGTCCATACATTTATGTTTGATTAATTTGTGTCATGGAACATTTGTATTGTACATAGATGAACCTATGTATTTTATGTGTAAATAAGACATAAACAATTTATTTAGCAGTGATGCTGCCTGATATTAGGTTCCATATATTTTAGCTTTTCAAATAGATAAATCCTTACATATCCGCATTATTAAAGCATTTATAAGTATGACATGATTGAAATTAGAATTTAACCGCAATCAGGCGACTGTACTAACAACAAATATGCAGGCCTTGAAATGACATCTTAATACTTGATGATGGATAACGTGTTAGCTCTGATTGACAGTTATGGGGTGTGTTTATAAATTTGAAAATTGATTGTTAATGACTTAAATGTGTTTTATATGGTAAGGCCTGAGCATTGTGTAAAATGTGTATGTGATGATAGTATGTAATATTTTAATGCAGTGAATACCTATGTAGAGAAGTAATTGACCTAGATCTTCTCTCAGGAGCTGTCACTGGTGGCATATGTAAGTCTGTTAAAGATGAAAAAAAAACAAAGAAAACATCAGTTATTAGCCTCTTCACTACCAAGAATATTCCTCAGGAGAGATGAGATTTGCCTGTCAGAGCTCTTTGATTGTCCAACTAGTCAGAGTGCTTTAATGAGTATTCATAGTTACATAGTTACATAGCTGAAAAGAGACATGAGTCCATCAAGTTCAACCTTTCTCACAATCATTTTTGCTTTTGATCCAAAATAATGGGGAAAAAAATCAAATGTCAATTTTGCAACAAACTAGGAACAAAATTTCTTCACGACTCCAGAATGGCAGTCCGATATCTCCTTGGATGAAGAAGTTATTACACCACTAATTAAAAATTATATCCCTGTGTGTTATGTTTTTGCAATATTCATCCAATTGCTATATTAACATCTGTATAGACTCTGATAATACCACCACTTTAGGCAGACAATTCCACATCTTTATTGTTCTTACTATAAAAAAACCTTTCCTTTGCCATAGACTAAATTTCCTTTTTTCTAGGGTAAATGTGTGACCCTGTGTCCTAAGTGTAGTCCTTTTAATAAATAGTTTAATAGAGAATGGTTTGCATTGGCCCCAAAT